TAAAAAAATTTTACCAGAATAGAAATTTAAATAACTTATATTTAAAATATTGAGTAAAATTTATTCCAATAATTCATTGCTTTAATTAAATTTCTATTCTTTGGAGAGAATATATGAAAAACCTTTTGTAATATGTATATATAAATATATACACTCACTCTCTTACTCGTCTCAGTGAGTTCAGTTTTTTATTTTTAAATATTGGTAAATAGCGCATTTTTTGCTTTTTTAAAGTGATTGAATTATGATGTTCTTACGTTCCTGTTAAGATTTTTATGCTAATCTGCGTGCAGTGGAGTTGTAGAATTATCAACAATTTAAAAGCTCTTTAAATGCCACTAAGCCTAACGAAACTGCCATTTGTTTACATTTAAAAACTTTTAGTAGAATAGTGAATTAAGTCAGTTTCTCCATCTTCAGTGTCTTTTCACTGAGTGGGGCCGAAAGTAAACTTTCAGTTTTGTGCGCCGAAAAAATCTGCCTTTTTGCCCACTGGCCGAATTATTTATTTATTTATTTATTTTGTAAAAATTCTAACTTTAATTGTAAAACTGATTTTTTTATGAGTTTGAACTGGATTTGGCGTTTTATGGTTTTCTGCATTTTACTAGTTTTAGTGAGGATGTTTTTGTCTTGCCACAAGATGAGAACTGAATTAATTGAATGAGAGCTATATCTATAATGAAATTCGAGGAAATAAGTTTAAATGAAACACTGCAAAAATGAGTGTAATTTAATAGGCCGTACCAGGAAGTCATGTGGGGTCCACACCAAATTTTTTTTTTTTTTTCTTTTAAGTCCCAAACGCATCATTACATGATTAGAAAATAAAATTAAAAACTTATACTTCCAAAGGACGATAAATGAATTAATTATGCGAAACTAAGTGGTATGAAAGGCATTAAACTGCGTTCCTTTAAAATAAATTCTTAAACTGTTTATTACGTCTTTGGAAGAAATCAAAGAAATATTTGCTAATAAATCTAAAAAAAAAAAAAAACTATTTTACTTGCCTGCAAGCTGCAGACACAGAATTCAGTGCTGTATATATATTCAAGCTAAAAACATGTATGACAATTTGAATGTAGAAATGATTATTCCAAGGACCATAACATTTCAAAACATCATTCTAACATATTCATAACAGATCCGGAAATATATCACCGCGCATCCATTTCCATCGATAATTTCATCAAATTTCATCGATGATGTTATTTCTTCTTTAAATGACAAGTGTCTGGCACACGAAACACTAAACATTTCACTTCAGAATCTTACGAGAAAGATGTAATGTTTTGCATGATTTTATTGAGAAATGTATTCGTTTTTATAAAGACGATCAAACTTCCTGTATTTACCACAGCAGAAAACTTTTACTGCAGATCTATTTTGCCACTTGTCTTTTCCCGCGTTGTTTTAGACCCTTAAATTTCAATTCCTTTAATGAAAAGGTGGAATTCACGTACAAACAAAACTGCAAAAATCAAACCCACGTAATTCAAAATTCAGCTGTAGTTATTTTCATTAAATTTCCGAAATTAAAACTTTCTTTGATATAGCAAAATGTACTGTAATATTAGAGATTACAATTGCATGAAAACATATATATCACATTTGACAACAATATGTAAAAGAATTAATATCAGTGCTTATTTTCTTATTTGAAGTTTGATAATGAAAAGCTCAAACGCCTCCAATGGATGAGCTACAAAGAAATTATGTTTTGAAAGTAATAAAATATAGAAGACTCCCGATTATCTGAGCCTTCAATGGATAACCTATAAAGAATTTGTTTTGAAAATAACAGAATACAACAGAGTCTCGATTAACTGAGCCTTCAGTGGATAAACTACAAAAAATTTATGTGTCGAAAATAATAGAATATAGCAGAGTCACGATTACCTGAGCCACTTCAATAGTTGAGCTATAAGGAATTTGTTTTGCAAATTTTCAAATAATAGAATATAGCAGAGTTTTGATTATCTGAGCCATCAGTGGATAAACTACAAAGAATTTATGGGTTGAAAATATAGCAGAGTCTCGATTACCTGAGCCCCTTCAATGGATAAGCTGTAAAGAATTTTTTTGTTAATAAGAAAATACAGCAGAGTTTTGATTATCTGAGCCTTTAGTGGACAAACTACAAAGACTTTATGTGTTGAAAATAATAGAATAGAGCACAGTTTCGATTATCCGAACGCCGATTATCCAAACTCGTTAGAAATTGTTTGAATAGACGTTAGGGCAAAGGCCTGTGGCGAGCGAAATTTTTTGAAATCTTGTAACTCCTAAACGGTAGTTTTTGCAAATCACCTTTTTCTGCATTCATCTTTCCTACTTTCTTCTATAATTGTTTTTTTAATTATTTCTGCTTCTTAATTTAGATAGGGAAGAAAAAAAAAATGTTTTGAGTGTGTGTATTTCTAAGTATTTAAAAGCAACAGGATTATGATTTCAACTAAAAATATGCAAACAATTACCAATTGTTTCAAGAAAAAATGGAATAAAAAGTATACTAGTTTCGAATCGTGCTGTAACGAATGTTCTTAATGTTCAAGAATAAATGGTTTACTTAAAATATTTTACTATATTTTACACTTTTAAATCTGAAGGCAGATTAATCTAACAAATCGTTTATTCGAACCTATTTTGATCCCAAATGTTTCGGATACCGAACCTGTATTTTATTTCTATGTCGGAATAAATCAAAATGGGCTTAAATGTTTTAGGAGCATAATTCAATAAAAATTTTAATTGTCAGATTAAAACTGAAGCTCTTGATTTGAATTTCCTGTAGCTGCTTTGTGAAAGCCATTTTAATTTGTTGTATTTTCGCTTTATAACTATACAAATGCTCAACAATTTTCTGTAAAACTTTTTTTTTTTTTTTTTCGGGAACAACTTTTATCAACAAAGGACAGTATGTTATAAGAGATTAAAAAGGCCACTTTTGGATTCAATCTGTGTGTTAAAATGGTGACTTTTCTTTAAGTTGCTTACTCTGTATAAAGTAATAAAGGGTGTCTTATTTTACAATCATCTGTGTAGTTAATTATGTGGGTTTGTTTACAAGAAGCATTTTCATTGTTATAGACTACAATTTAATTAATGATATATTGCATTTATATAACTGCCTAGCTAAGCAAATTTTTTATGTAAGTTGACTTCTACCGCATTGTATTTGCTTCATGTAGTGAAATTTTGCACAATGAAAAGATTTTAACAAAATAATTGTTGAGTGTGATCCTTTTGTTTTCATCTTCGACGTATTCAAAGAAATGCAAGTAAAATATATGATATTATAAAAATTGTACTGAAAATTTTGAATTATAATGTTTTAGAGTGTTCAAAATAGTTATAGCGAGTACGAAAAATTCCTGTAGTCACAAAGTAATGAAAAGAAACTAAATTCTTGCGGCAGCGTAGAATATTGAATGTAAGTGTCCAAGGACAATTTCTTGTATAACTACATTGATCTTTGTTTCGTGGACTATGGAAAATTTAGTTACATCTGATTAGAGACTTTCAATTCACTTCCAGGCTGATTCAAACAGACGATATGCTTACTAAGCAAGAGAGGTTCTCCAAAAAAGTGCGGTAGTTCTTTTAGAGTTCTTTCATCAAAAATCGTTCACTCACCGCTGTTAAAATAAAGTTTGAATTTTAATCATTTCCAAACTTATTGAAATTTTTTCAATCCAGAATTTTATTGTTAGTTCTATGCATTAGAAAAAGTATTTTACAAAAGAAGGTTTGCAAAGAAAGAAGTTCAAAACTCAACTGAAAGAGATCAGCCGAGGAAGTTAGCTGTTCGACTTAATTGATTCTCCAGATCACACTGCTCGTTCTCTTGATCACCTCATAGCGTTCTTTATTCACTCCCCATTTCTGATCTTATTTCTTGTTAGTGAGCGGTCCAGTTCAGTTCAGTGAGCCGAATGATTCTGATCTGATCCTATAAAAGCGCGTTTTTGCCAAACTCTATATTTCATGTTGAATTTAATTTTTTTTTTTTTTTTTATTTATTTTGCCTGGAATTTCATAACTTAGGAATCCGATGCAAAGACGCTCTTGCGAATACTTCGGGGCAGTAGCCAGGTATTTTGCTTGTTTGTTTGTTGCAGAGTCTATCATTTCATGGAGGAATGATTACCAGAGTGTCAAGGAGGTTGGAATTTATTCCCTCCCCCCTGTTTTGAGAGAGAACAGCTCGGACGTGGTCGGAGGGTCTTCCATCTCTCTCCTCTACCTTCAAGCCACACGAGAGGACTTTTGTCTCGCCATATACCAAGAGTGTCCGAAGCCATACATTTATAAACATCCAGAGATAGTATACATTTACAAACATACATGCCTTCTCCGGAATTCGGGCACGGGCTCTTCGGTACGACAGTTAGAGTCACTAACCATCCCGACTGGGTGGCAGCCAAGTAGTTTTATGAAATATTAAAGCCTGTGATTAGGGAAGTATGGACTTTTTGATTCAATAAATAATATAGCTTGCAGTTTCTATAAACTACAATTCTATAAAAATCCAAAGGCGTCGGGAATCGATTTATGAATGTTTTCGGGGGTGGAATCAATTAAATTAAATTAATTTTTTTGAAGCCACTGACAAATTTATTTCATGTTTATTTATTATTTTATTTTCCTTTTTTAAATTTTGCCACCGGATTTAAAAAAATTATTTACAATAGTTTATTTTCAAAGTATCGGCTTTACTGTCTTGCATTCTGCATTTAATTTTAACGATCCCAGCAAGTAGACTATTTATTTCTAACTTAAATTTGTTACACATTTGATGGTTCTGAAAATTCTTTTAAGGTCGTTGCAGCTCTCTGTACTTAAACTGTAACTGGAGCTAATTTGTGTATCAAACCATAACTCATTTGTGTTCTTCTTAAATACATTAAAGAACCACTTTATATATATATTTAATTGTGATTAACTGTTAATGCATATTAATAAATAAAAAAAAAATTCTTGAAATAAAAAACAAATTCAGTTTTTGTAATGATTTTATTGCATTTGTTGTATAATATATATAGCAAATAACAAAACAACGAACAAACTACATCTCTTAGCATTACAAGACAGATTTTGCATTCAATTATTATTCTATATACAGTTCTGGTCAAACAAAAGATTAAAACACATTTGTAGGAAAAAATGTACACGTTATCACATATAACACATAATGACCAGAAAATCAGTTCTTTTTACATGTTTGGCATTCAGTAACCTGAGTTTGCATCTTTACAGGACAAAGTTGAACTATTTATATACAGATATACAATCATAAATATATGAAAACAATGTTTATTGTAATTTTTCAATAAATTAGCGTCCAGTTGTCACTCTTTAATCCAGATGAAGCAAGAACTTTCTTAATATTTTCTTTCTAAAGAATTAAACGAGTTTTAAAAATTTCATATTTAATATTTCTTTCACAAAAAATTAATAATTGAAATATCATGAAATTTACACTACGTTACCGCCTTATAATATAAGTTTAAAAAAGACAGAAGCGAAACACCCCAAAGTAAGATTTAAAATTAGCAAAGCAAGAAATTTCTATTTAGTGCACATTCTAGTCAAAATTCCATCTATTTCGAAGGCAAAACAAGTACAAGTTCCTCTTCATCAGAAGCAAAGAAATCTACAACAAACAGAAAACCACGGTTGTAATTTATACTTAAGCTAGAACAAGAAGGTAGCGCTGTCTTTCGGCAGTATTAGTAAAGAAAGTTGAAAAATAAAGTTATTAGAATTTTAAAAGCGGTAGGGGTCCAGTCAAATTAATCGCGTCCTTTTTAATGCTTTTAAAATTCTGTTAACTTATGTTTTAACTTTTCGTTACTACTTCTGCCAACAGATGGGGCTACCTTTTTCGCTTTACTCCTTTTGGGTATTAATACAACTGCGGCTTTTTCTTCGTTGCAGATTCCTTTGCTTCTGACGAAGAGGGACCTTTACCTGTTCGATATCGAAATCGATATAGTTAACACAAGATTGGTGCTTTGCTAATTTTAAAAGTTTAATATGTTATCCTCTAAATTTAATAGTACATTAGATATTTAATATCATATTAACGTTATTTAATGATCAGTGGGCTTCAAACTTTGTAGACTTTCGGAACCTTTAGAACTATAATGTTTTCAGGGAAACCCAACCGACCATTAAAAATATATCTTAAAATAATAGATGAAGTATATCAACATGTTACACTTACTTTATATAAAGATAATTTAAAAAATTATTAAATTTTTTGGGAAAAAATAACATAAAATTAATGTAATTTACTTATTAATAACATCAACTCGTAGTCCAAGTGTCCCCTACAATAATATTATATTTAATGACTCAAGTGTGCTTAATTTTTTTTTTTTTTTTTTTTTTTTTTGCATGAACTGTCGAAGTCTGGCTGTATTGATGTAATCTGCAGTCGCATTTCATATTCCGAATTTAATTTGTTTCTATATTTTGTTTTGTTGCCACATACATACGTCGAGAGAGGGTGGTTTTTTTTTTTTTTTTTTTTTTTTTTTTTTTTGCATGAACTGTCGAAGTCTGGCTGTATTGATGTATTGATGTAATCTGCAGTCGCATTTCATATTCCGAATTTAATTTGTTTCTATATTTTGTTTTGTTGCCACATACATACGTCGAGAGAGGGTGGTTTTTTTTTTTTTTTTTTTTTTTTTTTTGCATGAACTGTCGAAGTCTGGCTGTATTGATGTAATCTGCAGCCGCATTTCATATTCCGAATTTAATTTGTTTCTATATTTTGTTTTGTTGCCACATACATACGTCGAGAGAGGGTGTTTTTTTTTTTTTTTTTTTTTTTTTTTTTTTTTTTTTTTTCCAGTTTAACACATTAAAATATTTATAGCTGTGTGAGGAACACTTTTGCATACACAGTGACTGAACAACTGAAAAACCGAAGCTACTCTCGCACGTACTCGCACGTCGGCAGCACACATATTAAGAATGTTCTGCGGAGCACAGTTTTAAAACCACTCCCTTAAAGTTTTGTAATATTTATTCTTTTACTTTAGAACACTTTTTAGATGCCTTAGAAGGAATGATTTATTAACGTAATACCCGTTAATATCCTACGTTATTTTGATAAAAATCATGTGATGCATAGTTATACATCATGTCACGTGTAACGTGTATACGAGCCAGTTATATTTTCCTGATATGACACTAACTGGACTCATTAAAATCATTACGTATTTTTAGTCCAAAAAGGCAATTTGCCCAGAAGGAATATTAATTTCGTTTTGGCATTTTGCTTTGATTCACTAAAAGCATTATTTCACTTTTCGAATTGTTGCCACCAAATATTATCGCCCTGCATTATATATAAAGAAATTAAATAATGAAGAATCTGCGTGAATGTATGTATGTTTCTGGCACTGTGACAAAACAACGGTACCTAGAGCCATTCAGTTTTGAATAACGTAATCCTCCTGCGAATATGGGCATCTGGAAGCCCAAATTTGAAATATGGAATTTGTTTTATCGTCGATTTCATATTTTGTAAAACTTAAACGAAATTTTAATTAACAAACTCAAGGATTTCAAAGCGAGCAATGGCAAATTTGTACAGAAAAAAAGATTTTCATCTGCAGGGCACGAGATTGTGTATCGTAAATTCTAAAGATATGCTCATTTTAAAACTATTTTGCGACATTGCTCTTGAACTGAATTTTATGGTTTAAGTGCGAAGAACATGATATTTAATAAATAAATGTAACACACAAAATGTTAAAAAAACGCCCCTCTGGACGTAGTTAGTAAAATTAAATAAAATAATAGGAAAAGATAAATAAATTTTATTTGCTGATTGGCCACAGATGAAATATTTGATTTGATTCGGGAACTAAAATCATGAGTTTTATATTTTAAAAAATTAAATTATTAAAACAACTCGTCTTAATTCGAGTTAAAATATATTTGATTGGTATTAAAGAAGTTGTTCAATTATAAATTAAATGGTTTTATTTCTCGCGCAGTGCAGCGCGTGACGAATATTAAAAGAAAGCTAAGCCGGAAAATTGAAAATACAAGAGCGCGTGCATTAAATAAATAAATATCTCTTTTTGATTTCGAGAAAGTACTGGAAAATTCTAGCGCGTGATTTTAAAATCTTATAAAAGGAGGAAAACATCTCAGTTTGTAGTAGTTGCTTAGTTTGTTGTTGTTTAGAAAACTACTGTTGTTGATTGTAGCGAATTCGCGGATTAGCGTTCTTTAGCTGTTTTGAATTACGTTCTATTGGACATTTGAGTAGTTAAAAGATAACTACTGTGAGATATTGTAATACTGCATGATAATTTGAGAAAATTTAAGCATTTTTGTTGTGATAATAATAAATTTTTGTTCATTTTTCATCGGACTTGTGCATTCATTCTAACACCCCCGCAACAATATTTATTCGCAGTAAATTTTGGACAATCTCATAGGGTACAAATACTTTAACATTATCTTTGTGGTTTTCTGAAACATTGTAATTTGTAGTAATTGTTAACATAACGATTAATACAGTGACAAATATTATGATCTTTAAGTTTTTTATCATGGGTGATAATAAAAAACAAGAAAAGAAAGCAACCAGAAAGCATTTCACTGGAAACTCAAATGCAAGTGATTAGAAGATTAGATTCTGGTGAACGTCAATCTCAAATTAGCGCTGCATTGATTTTGGCAACTTCAACAATAAGGACAATTCTTAAGAATAAAGAAAAATACTGTCATCGGCAACTGCAACTACGTCAAGCTCTGCAACTAGAATTACCCGTTCTAGAAATAACATTATAGAGGAAATGGAAAAACGACTGTCTATATGGATTGACGACGAAATTGAACGCAATATGCCATTAAGCCAATCTATCATAATGCCTTCTTAACAAAAAGGCAGAAAATTGGAAACCCAGAATAGACTGAATGATCTGACTGAGAATTTATTTTTTTAAAGTATATTGCGTTTATATTGTTTTTTATTTTTTTTGTAAGAAATAAATGTTTGATTTTATTTTTTATTAAAAAAAACATTAATAAATTTAATGCCTAACCATTTTTTATCCGTCTTCCCCTAACCCAATTATTTACATGTTAAGATAGCCTCGCTTAGCGCTGTTTCGCATTACGCTCTACTTCGATGGAACGTATCCCCCGCGTTAAGCGGGGTCTTACTGTAGTAGATTTAAGAATGACGTAGCCTGACGGCAAACACGCGCCATTAAGGACTCCTAAGCTCTCTCTTTTGAAGTAAGCTGAACCTTCCTTAAATACTCTTTTTAACTCATTTGCCTGACACGCGATACTAAAAACTCATTCTAATAGGGAATAGGAGATGGGAAACGAGAATAGATAGTAAAGCATATTTAAACTTAAAATAACTGTTAGAAACTTAATCTCTACAGGTTCCCCCAAAAAACTTTACAGTTCTACGGGTTTCGCGAGTCGATAAAGTTTGAAGACCGCTGGGAATATACTATACAGGTATTGCTATCGACAAAATTTTTGCTTAAAGAATTCCTATCAGAAATATCTAATTTCTCTTTATTTGAGTTTTTTATGACTGACATTTTAGATATAGACGATGACACAAATTCACTTTAGACATTCAAATTTCCAGCCCCTCGATGTTACAGTTTTCTCGTTCGTACATGACAACCCGTCGAAAAATGGAGACTATTTTTTTTTCTGTTTTTTTTTTTTATTTTTTTTTATTTTTTTATTATTCCTAGTACTTATTTCTGATAACGTATTAAAATTAAGTAAAAAGTTTAATATGACTGCCTATTATTATTATTTTTTTGTAAATTTTCCATCTATCACCAAAACTACCGATGCGTAGTAAAATGTAAACAGTACTAAAAAGTCACGTTTCCTCGAGTACATAAAGCAATATGATTCTTCAAGGCAATAGTTTTTTATTTGGATGATCATAGAGTTTGTTTTAATAACAAAATACATGCATCACTTGATTCGATTTACGAAAAGGAGTCCAGACTGATAATAGCTTGCCGTTGAAACGCAGCGGAAATTCTTTCATACACAGGTGAATGCGATGAGTTTTTCTATTAATAGAGATTATTATTTTTTTCCCATGAGAAGTTTTAGATGATTTTCTTTCTAATAATAATGTTCCAAATATATTTGGCTTCGAACCATATCTAATAGAAATGTAGAATATTACAGATAAAGAAGCATACAGTTCACGACTATGTTTTATATATAATAACTCTGGTAACGCCATCTCGTTATCTATAAATATAAAGAACGTCTGTGTGTTTGTTCGCGATTAACTCAATCACTACTACAGCTATCGTCACCAAACTTTCTACAGTTCTTTTCTGGGTCTTGGAGATGGTCGACGTCCATCCCCCC